TCTACTTGTACCCTGACAGTAATATTTTGTGGCTACCAAAGAAGGGAGGGAAACTGAAGCAATGAGAAGTTTATGGGAACTTTCCTAAGGCTACTGACACCATAGCAGCCATTACTTATTTCACAACCCAGAACAGGAATGACCTACTGAACTTTATACTTTTAAAATCCAACTTTTACGGTATATGAAATATACCTCAGTAGATATGGTTTATGTTTAAAAGTCAGGGATTACCTTCTGGACAATGCTTCTGACAAAGGAGTAGTATTTTTGCCTCTCCTAGGCCTATTGTTGATCCCTACCTCATTTTTAAACATCAGTTCTTATGTATAAAACACTTACCCTAATGGGCTTGTATAGTTCACAGGGTCATTATTATAGACCACACGTATCTCCATCAGTGAGGCAAGTGCTCTTATATTGCTCCTTCAAGGTGAGAAGCAGAAGCTAAGAGAATTTTTATTTATGAATGATTATTCATGAAACACAGCTAGTAAGAGGAGGAGTCGCAAGTTAGACTCAAGTCTTTCTGACTTTGAAGACTATAATTTTAGCATTTGCTAAGTAAGAAAAAGAAGAAAGACTGAACACAAAGAATACAAAAGAAACTGAATTGGTAATTCTGTGAAAGTCAGCAGGCTATGGAAGAGTTTCCGAGTTCTAAATAAATGCTGAAATCCAGTGCAAGGCTGGCTTTAAACTTTTACTTCAGTATGGGTGTAAGGCCCCAAAATCTTCCTGACACTTTCACAAAATAAAAAACAAACAAACAAACAAACAAACAAACAAACAAAAAAACACCATTTCAAAGAGAGTCAACTGAGAAGAGCTCTAATATCCATAGGAAACGGCTGACTTTCTGTGGCTGTGTTAGTGTAGGACTGACTCCTCTGGCAATACGGGCGGTGCTTTCCCCGGGGGCTAATCCATTAGCATGTTTGTGAACAGATATTCATTGTAATTAGTTGCCAAGTTCTAGGGACTGTCTAGATTATAACTCTCTCCAAATCAGTACCCAGACAGGAAATGACTGACTCCAGACATGTGGTGAATCTGCAACTATAGGCCAGACTTTAGCAGCCAGTAGAGTAAGTCACTTTTCCTTCTAATACTGCTGTGATTTTAGTCACATTTTAAAATGTCTTTATACTTTCATGATACTGACTTTGAAAATTTATCTGAGGATTAAGCAGAAAAGTAGGCAAAACAGAAGACAGTAATTGCTTAATTAATGACAGCTGATGACAGTATTGCCTGGTGGTCAGTACAGAAGAGTTGTTACATCATGCCTAATGTAGTTTTCTGATTATTTTTCTACCCTTCAAAACATGGTATATGTTATGTACGTATACCTTCCCAAAAGGCTAGGCCCAAAGATAACCAGACTAACAGTGAATAGTAGGATACAAGAAGAAAATCTATCTCTAAATTCATCATAAACACTTCTGAAAACATTACTTTTTTGAGTTTTTTAATTGTTAAATTTATTACAATTTATTCACTTTGTATCCCAGCTATAGCTCCCTCCCTCAGCCCCTCCCAACCTCGCCCCCCTCCTTCATCTCCTCTCATCCCCCTCCCTGAGTCCACTGATAGGGGAGGTCCTCCTCCCCTTCCATCTGACCCTAGCCTATCAGGTCTCATCAGGACTGTCTGCATCGTCTTCCTCTGTGGCCTGGTAAGGCTGCCCCCCCTCTTAGGAGGTGATCAAAGAGCCAGCCATTGAGTTCAGAGAACCTTACTTTGATTTATAGCCCCTATACCTAGCCAAAAATAATAGCTTACACATGATCAGAGAATATTTCTTCCTTTCATGGCCTGAGCATTCCATACATTACTCACTTATATTATTTGTGTTTCGGTAGACATGACATTCTTAAAACAATGTACATATTATATAAATCTCAGATTCATTTTTTGCATAATGGTTATGTAATAAGGGTAAGCTAACATAATGGTTACAGCATTGGCACTGCAATAAGATAGTTATATGTTCAAATCTTGGTTCTTCTATCATATAGCTATGACTTTGAAAACTTTTAAGTCTATGTCTTTTTCTGTAATATGGGACAAACCATGCACATGCAAATGTTGTCAGATAACATGATAAGAGAGATATATTCAACACACTATCTGAACACAGTAAATTCTCAATAAATTGTAACTATTATTGCAAAAGCCATGAATTGGGTAAGCTTAGTGACCTGAGTTCATTTGCAATAAAAAAAAAAAAACTTTCTTGTGCACCTGCCAAGTATATTACAGTCTGCTATCTTCTTTGAACACTGTGGTAAAAAAAAAACCAATTGCACAAACAAATTCTGTCCAACAAAGTCTCTGCTTTTCACTGTGAATGACCCTACAGGAGAGTATTCCAGAGCATGTCTCCAGTGTGGAAGGTGGGGCCATTACCACCTTTTCTGCAATCATCTTACAGACGAGAATGTAAAGAAGGAAGATAAACATGCAAGAGGTGGAGTTAAGTTTGATTACAAATGAATCAGACCATCCCACAGAAGACAGCACCCAAACTAGAAGCTATATAAGGGTCAGTGTTCCAGTCCATCAACACCCTGCAAGCTGCATCAGGCCTTATCCTACTTGTTCCTTTGGTGAACCAGGTGAGAGGACTTTAAATCTATGGCATTTGGTACTATCGTGCCAGATATCCTGAGATGAGTCTGAGCTTACACATACAGAGTACCATATTTTGCTACTTTAATTTTGTTGTTGCTTCTTTTATTTTCGGTTTGCTGTTTAGTTTGATTAAATGAATTTACTCTTGAGTTTTTAGAAATACATTTGCCTTTATTGAAGAGTATAAATCCAGTAGAAGTCTGTCTTCGTGTAGGTCAGTGGTTCTCAACCTGTGGGTTACAACCCCTTTCACAGGGATCTCTTATCAGGTATCCTGCATATCAGATTATAATTCTTAATGGTAGCAAATTTATAATCATCAAGTGTCAATGAAAATAATTTTTTGGTTCGGGGTCATCACAACATGAGGAACTATATTAAAAGGTCACAGCATTAGGAAGGTTGAGAATCAGTATTCTAGGCCATCTAATACTCTTTTGTTTTTTTCACATGCAACCTTTTCTAAACATATGAAAAAGATTGGTATTATGGTATAGCTTCTTTTTTATTCAGTGTTTGTGCATAAAGCTTTGAGCTCTAATTCTACACTTTCAAATTCTTGAATTGATTGATAACTTTTAAAAGAAATGGTGTTTAATTGAGTGAAAAGATAGTGAGAGTTTCTGACCCTTGATAAAGGCTATCTTTAGATTCTACAGTACCAAGAAATTATGAACACACTGTCCATTTTTTATTTTCTGTGAGACTTGTGGATATAGTTTGCATTCTGATGAACAGAAAGGATTTGAATAGTAAGTTTATCTATCACTTTTGCCGCAGCTAGGAATGATGGAGCATGTAATTCTTGGGAGGTGGAAGCAGGGAGATCAGGAGTCAGTGGTTAGACTTGGTTATGAAGCAACTTTTTGAGGCCAGCCTAAGCTATATGAGATCCTGTCTCAAAAATATTAAAAAAAAAAACAACTTAAACAGGAAAGAAAAGAGGAAACAGACCAAAAAATAGGTAAGCTGCCTGCCACATGAGTGTGAGGACCAGAGTTCAGATCACAGCACCTATGTAAAAACTAGGAGTGGTAACATCAGTTTGTAACCCTGGTGCTGTGCTAGGGAGACACTGGTGGCTCTCTAGAGCTCCTTTGCTAGCCAATTTAACCAAACCAATAAGCTCCATGTTCACTGAGGGTCCTTGTCTCAAGATATAAGGCAGAATGCTTAGAAAATGACCTAGTGTCTAAAGAACTTATGTTACAAATGTTAGGGCCTGAGTTCAAGTGCCTAGAACCCCTAGAAAGGTGGGCATGGTGGGTGAACATCTGACATCTCAATGTTCCTACAGCTAGTCTGGCAACAAGCCATGAACGACACACAAAAAGAAAACCATGACTCAAACAAAGTGGAAGGCAATAAGCAACAACTAAGGTTGTCCTGGGATTTCCATACACGCACCATGGTACACATGTGTCTGTACAAATTTACAAATAAAAACACACATGCATGTTCTCACATATCATATACACATTTACATACACATACATAATTCACTCACACATAAAGGAAAAATATAAAAACAATATGAAGGATGACTGAGGAAGACACCAAATGCTGGCCTCTGGTTTCCACACACATGCCCACATATGTGCATCAGTTCTCAAACATATATGTGTACATACATACACAGAAAAACATACATGTATTACACACATGCCAGAAAATAAATGAAAATGAAGAAAAGAGAAAAGAAGAGATAAGGAGAGGAATGGAGTGGAAGAGAAAAAGATAGGAGAGAAGAGGACAGAAGATATGAGACAGACTAGGGTCATAGTATCTAGAGGATACTGGGAACTTTGGGAGCCCAGAGTAATCACCAGAACACTTAAGTACCCAAATATATATTATATAAGGAATATTCAAGACAAATAACATGGGGACCTGAGATCATCCCAGTTGGGCCAATAACATGCCCAAAGTTTTCTTTGTGTTGACTATATTACAAAAATCCTGAACCATACTTAGATGTTGAGGATGGGGGGGAGATGTTTTAAAAGTTATTTTATCAGTAGTTCTCAATCTGTGGGTCTCGACCTCTTTGGGAGCCCAACAACCTTTTCACAGAGGTTGCATATCAGATATCATGCATATAAGATATTTACATTACAACTCATAGCAGTAGCAAAATTACAGTTATGAAATAGCAATGAAAAATAATTTTAGGGGGGCTTATCACAACATGAGGAACTGTATTAAAGGTTCGGACAACTAGGAAGGTTGAGAACCACTGCATTGTATTAAAATAAGTCCTTTTGGTAAATTAAAAGAAAATGAGGCCTCTCTCTGTCTTTCTTTATATAACTTTGTTCCTTTCTCTCTCTAGGTTCATTTAAACTTGAAAAAAAAAACCAAAGATGACAGACCTCTTAAGAAGTGTTGTCACAGTCATTGACATATTCTACAAATACACCAAGCAAGATGGAGAATGTGGCACACTGAGCAAGGATGAGCTAAAGGAACTGCTGGAGAAGGAGTTCCGGCCGATTCTGAAGGTATATGTTAAGTCTGAAGGCCATTGGGGTTTTGTATGAGTTCTAAGACAAAGATTAGCTACCTGGAAAGTTCACAGCCCCAGCTGATTTTGAGAAAACCAAAGTAATAATCTTTTGAGCTAGGATATCATAAGTCTATTAGTCTGCATATATTTTTTTAAAGGCAGTTGTTTCTTCCACACTTTCCTCTGTTCTTCTACTTAGACTCCAATGTTCTCATCCACTCAAGCTTCACATTCCATGTAAAGAAGTAAATGCATGCTAAATTAATTAATTAATTTACTAATGATCCCAAATGGGGATCAATATTATAAAGGAATGTCATAGAAAGTAGAGTCAACAAGTGGCCAAGAAGATGTATTTGAAAACAAGTATATGTATTATTTTTGACTACTTAGCAAATATTTAACTAATGAATTTAACATATCTGAAGGCAGATACATAAATATTTATAATTAAATATATGTAAAACTAAAATATATATATATGCCAGTTACTGAAGTTGGTTTGTTCCATGCTTTCCATATGTCATGACCTAAGTACTTGGGCTTAGCTCCTTAGGATATCTTCTTTCACAAATCACAGTAGTCTTTATTTTTTTATTTAATCCTTCACATATTCTAGGTCCTATTAACCTAAAGTAATGACCAAATGGATTAAAATCATGTAACACACAGTACACAAATATACTAGGTGCTACTAGGTTGATTTAGCTGAAAATGTGGCTGGGCTGACCATGTCTTCCTTGATATGTTTTCTGTATACAGAACCCAGATGATCCAGACACAGTGGATGTCATCATGCATATGCTGGATCGAGATCATGACCGAAGATTAGATTTTACTGAGTTTCTTCTGATGGTATTCAAACTAGCTTTGGCTTGCAACAAGGTTCTTGGAAAAGAATACTGTAAAGCTTCAGGGTCAAAGAAGCATAGGCATGGCCATCAACACCGAAAGGAAGAAAGCGAAACAGAGGAGGAAGAGGAGACACCAAGACAGAAATCAAATTTCAGACATTCAAGTTGGAGTGAGAGAGAAGAGGAGCATGGCCATAGTCCTGGGGGCTCAAGGGGACCTGCAAAGCATAGACGTAGGTCCAACTCCAGGAAGTTGGAACAGCAAGGTGAATTATCCAGCTCAGTAGAAGCTAGGGAAAAACGCCAGGGGTCTAGCTCTGGTCACTCTTGGCATAGTAACAAAGAGAAATATGGTTCCAGCTCTGAAGAGCTAGAAGAAAAAAGAAACAAGTCATATGATGGCTCCTCTAAAGAATCTGGGGAAGAAGATGAATCTGGATCTAGCTTAAACAGTCAGGGAAGAAAAGGTCATAGTGGAGTGTCACATGGACTGGAGAAACATGGATCAAAGTCTACTCAGTCAAGAAAGGGTGGAGAACAAAATCTTGGGCCTAGTTCTGCAAGTTCAAAAAACAGTAAGATACAAAGCCATGCATTTGGTAATAGCAACTCTAGTCAGTGCTGCAGACCACAAAATGCTTCAAATTCTTGTCAGGCAGGTAGATCCGAAAGAAAAGGAAATCAGTCTTGCTGTACCCAGTCAAGTTGTCAATCAGGAACCGGTGGAGGACAAGGTTATGGATGTGTCTCTGAAGATCAGTCCTCTAGATGTTGTCAACCTAAACCTAGATCCTGTAGCTGGTCTTCTAGTCAGAGAAGGTGTGGCTCTAAACAAGGTGGTCAACAACAGAACTGTGGAAGACAAGAAAAATTGGGTTCAAGTCATTCTTCTTGCTGTGGACAATATGGGACTGGAGCAACTCAAACTTCTGGTTGTGGTCAACATGGAACAAGTTCCTGTGGACACTGTTCAAGCTCTCATCAAAACGGGTATAGTTCAAATGAATTTTCCAAATGTGGTCTGCATGGGTCTGGTTTAGGGCAGTCATCCTGCAGTGAACAACATGGAACAAATTCAAGGCAGTCCTCTGGATTTCAACAATATGGACACGGATCAGGTCAGTCATGTTGTGAGCAACGTGGTACTTCATCAGGTCAATCCTCGAGTTGTAGTCAACATGGGTCTGGATTGAGTCAGTCCTCTGGTTTGGGACATCATGAGTCTGGCTCACATCAGTCATCTGGCTTTGGGCAGCACGGGGCTGGCTCAGGTCAGTCATCGGGCTCTGGGTATCATGGATCTGGATCAGGTCAGCCATCTGGCTCTGGGCAGCATGGGGCTGGATCAGGACAATCATCTGGCTTTGGGCAGCATGGGTTTGGTTCTGGTCAGTCATCTAGTTCTGGGCATCACAGATCTGGTTCAGGTCAGTCTTCTGGCTTTGGGGAGTATGAGTCTGGATCTGGTCAGTCATCTAGTTCTCCACAATATGGATCTGGCTCAGGTCAGTCATCAAGCTCTTGGCAGCATGGGTCTGGGTTTGGGCAGCATGGGTCTGGTTCTGGTCAGTCGTCTAGTTCTCCACATTATGGATCTGGCTCAGGTCAGTCATCTAGCTCTTGGCACCATGGGTCTGGTTTTGGGCAGCATGAGTCTGGTTTTGGGCAGCATGGATCTGGTACTGGTCAGTCACCTAGTTCTCCACAGTATGGATCTGGCTCAGGTCAGTCATCTAGATCTTGGGAGCATCGGTTTGGTTCTGGTCAGTCATCTCGTTCTGGCCACCACGGATCTGGCTCAGGTCAGTCATCTGGCTTTGGGGGGTATGGATCTGGATCTGGTCAGTCTTCTAGTTCTCCACAACATGGATCTGGCTCAGGTCAATCATCTAGCTCTTGGCAGCATGGGGCTGGCTCAGGAAAGTTATCTGGCTTTGAGCAGCATGGGTCTGGTTCTGGTCAGTCATCTAGTCCGTGGCAGCATGGGTCTGGATCAGGAGAGTCATCCGGATTTGGGCATCACAGATGGGGCTCAAGTCAGTCATCTGGTTTTGGGCAGCATGGGTCTGGTTTGGGGGAGCATGGCTCTGGTACTGGTCAGTCGTCTAGTTCTCCAAACTATGGATCTGGCTCAGGTCAGTCATCTAGCTCTTGGCAGCATGGGTATGGATTTGGTCAGTCATCTAGTTCCCCACAGCATGAGTCCAGCTCAAATCAGTCATCTGGCTGGCAGCAGCATGAATCTATACCGGGTCAATCACCAGGATCTAGGCACCACAGGTCTCCTTCAGGTCAGTCATCGGGCTTTGGAAATCAGGAATCAGGTTATGATGAGTCATCTAGATATGATACTCAAGAATCAAATTCAGGTCAGTCATCTAGACTTGAGGAGCACAGAACAAAAGAGAGACAGTCTCATAAGCCTTGGAAACAGGGGTCGGACTCAAGTCAGTCTTCCATATTGGGGCATCCCCAGAATAGCAGCAAACATCCTGAGTCTGGGCATCAGCAGCCCTCCATTTCAGGCTCTGGTAGATCTCCAAGGAGGTCTCCAAATCAGTCTGAGGTCAGTGAAGGTGAGGAGCACTCAGA